ACCAAAGGCCCTCCTGCCTGGGCTCCGCGCACAGGCCACGTGGAGGCCCGTCTGTCCCGGTTCTGGATTGAACCGGGATTAAAGGGACAAGGCATTAGTACCGACCCTTTAGTCCTGGTTCAGGAACCGGGACAAAAGGCCCTTACGAACCGGGACAATATGTTTTTTTCTACTAGTGAGGGAAGTGATGTCTAGTCGAGAGTGGGGAGACGACAATGATAGTGACCTCCTACGCTACTGTCAAAATACCCTCTCCAATTAGCTTAAGTTAAACGTGGATAATGTATTGATGCTTCGTGCTCACTCGTAGCAACTACGCATAAAAACTTTCGTTAGAACATAACAACACTGATACCAGATGGATCTATCTTGCCAATTTAAAATTCCAAATTGGATCCACAACTTGAAATATAAAAGAACACAAATGTGCATAGGAACAACAACAATTCAAATCTGTTGCAAATAATAGATGCTTGGTTTCTTTTTTGCACTAACAAAAACTATACCCAACCCGTGGATCAAATTTCGCCCAGAAATTTTGTGGCATTTTAGATGCATCATGTATCAATAACAGTATTAAAGAAATTTTGCAAACCAACCTGTTGTTGGATGGTTAGGAGAACATTGGTATTCTCAGCCCACCAGGATTTAAATCCTGTTGTTCGCATTTATCCTAAATTTATTTCAAGATTTCCAGCGATATGCGTTCATTGGGAGGCGATGTTCCCGTCCACTACGAGGCACCTAAGGTGACTTCGTAAAATCTCAAGATGACATGTCGGCTCAGTCCCTCGTAGGTGCTCATAGAGATAGGGTGTATGCGTGTGTGCGCTTTTATAGGAGTGAGTGTATGCGCGTATATATGAGCGCTTTTGTCCATACTGTGTTAAAAAAATAGTACTCCCTCTGTTCCTAAATAAATTTTTTTTCTAGACATTTCAAATGGACTATCATATACGGATGTATGTAGACATATTTTAAAGTACAGATTGACTCATTTTGCTTCGTATATAGTCACTTGTTGAAATATCTAGAAAGACAAATATTTAGGAACGGAGGGAGTATGAAAGAAGTTTTGACTTCTCTTCATGATTTGTTGTGGTGATTCGAGGTAGATATTTAATTTCTTTTGGAAAATTACCCATCTTGGAAATTTAAATGCCAGATATCGTCAGGTCCCACCAAAGCGGCGAAGATATCACTTGCCTCCGGGTGGACGAAGTATATGCAGAAGGGTACCTGTAAAAATCGAATATACGGTTACACCCACAAGCTTCCCCTGCACACACGCGACCAACTCTTACGCCGCCGGCGGAGAGATGGACTCCCGGGGCTTCGATTCCACGGGCCGCGAGTTTTCCAGCGCCACGGAGATGTGGGCCCAGGAGATCGGCGCCACCGCCTCCGCCTCGGCCTCCGAAGTCCCTCCGGGCGCCGCCGCCGCCGCTCCAAGCAATGGGGACGCCGGCGAGGAGGCGGGCGGAGAAGGGAAGCGCGAGGAGTGGTACTCCAAAGGAATCGCCTACTGGCAGGTAAAGGCTAAGGAGCGCTCCCGCCCAGCGGCCCAGCCCCCCTCCCTAAACCCTAAACCCCCAATCCGATTGCACGTCCCCTCGCTGCAGATTTAGCTTACCAGTTTCTCCAATTGGCGTGTCCTAGGGCGTGGAGGCGTCGACCGAGGGCGTCCTGGGAGGGTACGGGTGCGTCAACGACGCCGACGTCAAGGGCAGCGCCGCCTTCCTCCGCCCTCTCCTCACCGAGCGATTCGGCGCCGCGAAGCGCCATCTTGTCGCGCTTGGTGAGCCGAGCTCTGCCATGGAGAGCGTTTTACTGGTTCTTCTACATGCTCAAGGCATGGAATCCATGTCTGCTCTCTGTGATCTAATCGAGTGCTTATATTGTCGTCTCTGAAATTATGGCAGATTGTGGCTCGGGCATCGGGCGGGTTACAAAGAATTTTCTTATCAAGCATTTCAATGAGGTATGCAGTGCAACTCACGGTCACAAGGTTTACTTTGTACCATCATCTATTGAAGCCTTAAAAGACCTGCTGCTTATCCATACATGATACCAGTTCTAGACTAATGAAGAGTTATCCCCACTCGATGCAACTTCTGTTGTTGTATGCACACAGTGGTGTTTGTAAGAACTTACTGTTTTTTGTTTTCTCCCTGATGTATCATAACTAGAATTGTAATTTTTCTGTTTCTTCTGTATATATCAATGATTCGTTTTATTGTATCTTGTTTGTATTTTCCAAATTTTGATGATTCATTTTAAACTGGAATTGGGTTTTCAGGTTGATCTCGTTGAGCCAGTAGCCCATTTTCTAGAAGCGGCACGGGAAAATCTTAGTAGCTGTATGGATGTAGAGCAGGATACGCATAAGGCTGCAAACTTTTATTGTACACCTCTTCAGGTTGGTTGAGCATTCTTATTGTGATTAGGCTTTTTGCAAATTTCTCGCTGCTTCTTTCTAGATGGTAAATTTTGCATCTTGCTTCAGGACTTCACTCCTGAGGAAGGAAGATATGATGTGATATGGATCCAGTGGTGCATAGGGCAACTTACTGATGATGATTTTATTTCATTTTTTAACCGCGCAAAGGTGATTCAGTTTAAACTCACTTATATTTTGCTTTAACATTATGCTAATTTCTTGCCTTGAAGATTTTTTTCTGTATTTTTAAAGTGTAAATTTTATGCAAAAGCATGCTATAGTGCTGTTCTATTATTGGAGAAAGGATGTTGATATTTTTCGCTGCTAATCAAATGCTTGCAAAAAAAAAAATATGCATATGTAGAAAGATGCTCACCATATAGTTTCAACAATTACATGTACAGTGCAAATTGGAACAAGCGACGTCTTCTAAGCCAACCCCAGTCTGTATTTTTACTTATGGCTTAGTTCCAGTTCTGGTTCTCTTTGACCATGTCTGTGCACCTATTAGTATAGTCAAAATCTGATATAATATTATGTATATGGCTGTTCAACTATGTATGCATGTTAATTAAACATATATGGGTTATGTTTTTCCAGGTTGGGCTCAAACCAGATGGTTTTTTTGTTCTGAAAGAGAACATTGCAAAAAATGGTGAGCTTACTGTTGTATCACATGATATTTATCGTTACTGCAGCAGCTGTACTTTATGATAGAAATGCACCATGTTATACTTCTTATTCAGAAATTTATCATGTCTGTGTTGTCAGGATTTGTTTTAGACAAGGAGGATAACAGTGTCACTAGGTCTGATGCATATTTCAGGGAGCTATTTAACAAGTGTGGATTGTATATCCACAGCATCAAGGTATGCATCTCGCAAAATAACAAATTTTCCCAAATGACAAACTTCAGCTTCCATTTGTCAGCCACATAATCTCGCAATTTGATGACAGAACCAAAAGGAGCTACCAGAGGAACTATTTGCTGTCAGAATGTACGCATTGGTGACCAGCCAGCCAAAGGTCACAAAAAATGGCAAGAGAGGGCGGCCTAAAAATTCACCCCGTATAATCCGCTCTTGAAGGAGGGACTGTTGTGCCAGCGTATTGTCTGGCAATGTACTGTTGTTCACTTGTTTCTAGTTGCAATTTAGCTCGGTCTACATTTTGTTTTGAGCATGCTGTCTTTTTCGGAGATCAAATCCACTAGTTGCTGTTGAAACTTAATGCATATGGCATCTAGCACCTTTTGATTCTGAAATGAAGGGTATCTGAACCAATGAGTGTCATGTGCTTCTGATGCCCCAACTGGGCTGTAGACCTGTAGTAGATCTGTACCATGAACCACAGAATTGTTGCGAATGAGATGGCTGAGTGCGTGAGTATATGGGTGCATCTCTGCCAGGTATTACTATGACCCATGTGCGATCTGCGACTGCAGGAATGGCATCAGATTTGCCATGTTCTCATGGCGTAACATTATTTCCACAGGAAAAGTTGCATTGTTTCTTCACTCATATGTTAAGTTCATTTATTTCCATCACACACGTTCAAGTTTGTACACACTCTTCTAAAGGTACAAAGACTATTCAGAGAATATCCATCCTTCAAATATCCCTTTATGCTGATAGAAGGCAACTCATGATGAGGACCCAGAAAAGAGCATCTCGCACCATTCTCTGAACAGCCGACAACTAAAACCCAAAGAGAAAGATGACACAAGATATCACAACTGAACCGAGGAATGTGACTATTTATCCTAACATCGACTACCACGGCACGAATACCCTATTTCTGTCGATTAAAAGTTGAGGCAACCAAACGTCTTCACGTCGTAACAGACATCAGCACACACCACTGGAGAAGACATGCGAACCCATGGCAGAAAGGCAAGATGAGCTTTGTCCCTAACCTAAGTCTACAGACTCTACTGAAATTCCTCATGCAAAGAACATGTTTGTGCGTGTCAGCTGAGCTTCGCAACGATATTGGATGAAGGCAGCGTCCCAAAAACGGCGTCCCAGAGCGACGAGGTGATGCCGAAGCCCTTGTCCTGGATTCTGAAATGGTGGCTGAGGTGGTACCGCTGCATCACGAGTCAAGTTTGTGAGGAATGAGTAACAGCTACTGGTAGATTATCGGTGGCTTCAAGTGGAATCATGTTAGTTAGTCACCTTGAGATGCTTCGCTGGATCTTTGGATGGCTGTCCATGGTGCAGGTAGTAGTGCGTGCAGTCATACATCACGTACCCCAGCAGGCCACCGGCGAACAGCGCAGGAGTGGTAGATGGACTGGCGAAGAATGCCACAACATTCCAGAACTGAAAAATGAGAAACAAAAACAAAACCGCTTTGATTAAATGGGTTATGTTTCATGGAAGCAGTTTCCAAATGTTCAGCATCTCCATTTCATGGGTTCAGTCAGGGATATATACCGGCACACATATGATCGCTGCCCCAGCAGGAGGGAATACGAGCCTGAGTGAGTCCATAGGATGCTTATGGTGGCATCCATGGATAAGGTAGTGTGCGGTGTTCGACCTGAAACGCCGCACCAACCATCCATCAGTTACGAGCATAACCACGACACTTATTAAGGACCGGAGGGAGTAAAATTTACAAGCATGAGGAGAATCCCGATAAAACATTCCCAGGTCAAGGTTGATAAGTTCTTCTTACCAATAGCTTTTCGTCTCGATGTGGAAAAGGAAGCGGTGCAAAGCGTACTCAATGAACGTCCAAACAAACACTCCAAATAGGGCCATCAGGATTACTTCCTGAATGGTGTGACCCATCCGAATCGACTTGGCAAACAGCCAGCAGACGACAGGTAGCCATATGACTGGCACAGCCCACCACTTTGTGCGTGTCAAGAACTGCAGAAAGAAATTTTCATTACGTATATGGTGACAATTCAGTTTCCAAAATCCCCAATGACGTTAATAAACCGGAGCGCATTGGCGTTACCTCCATGGTATCATTTGCGAAAAAGCGCGGACCTTCTTTGCTGACGATAGGCTGGTGAACCCATTCCTGGTAATGTTCCTCGAGATGGCCAACCTTCATCCACAAGATAAAGAAGACGGTCAAAAGTAGTTTGCTTCAGCTGTCAGGCAGAACCAGTTCTAGGCGAGTTAAAAATTGTAAAACTACAAGTTCACCACTACAGCATATTATTTCAGAAGAGCAGAGCATGCATATATGCCAAGTCTCTCACTTAAAAAAGTTAAAATATTCACAATTCAACATTTTCAGCAACTGAGCTGGTGATGAGCACCTCAGAAGTGTATGCCACAAGCAAGCTCCAAAATGATGAGAAATTTAAAGTAGAAAAGGAATGGGAGATGTGCACACGCCGAGCCTAAAATTTCCGAGAAGAGTTGCTGCAACAATTGATTGATCTGAAGAAGCATATATTGGGAGAGCAGATGGTACCTGGAAAACAAGAGGCTGGTTGAGATCAACGGTGAACTCCTTGACAACCATCTTCCACTCTTCCCCAATCAGAGCTACACTGCAAAATTAAAATAGCAGCACACATCATTCATCATGCACGCAACAATAACAATCACGAAGGGAATGCCCAAACCCCAAACACAAGGCGTGATGGCCGACCTCAATTCTGGATGGCAATGGGCACGTACATTACACTAGTAATGGGCATTGGTGTGAGGACTGAAGAGGACGCCATAATCACCACCTTTTGTCCCCCTAACTATCCGGCCGAAAAGGACGGCAACGTCCGTTGGGCCGAGCAATGATCCACATGATCACACCTCACACGTGAGTTCGTGACAGAACGCAGACAGAGGCAGGCAGGCTTCATAAATCATAACCATCCTTCACACAGCGATTGCTCCCACCCAAGGCGTTTCTTACAGCACTGGCTAATACCACCCTTCATCGTCCACACGGCTCGGACCTGAATTACACCGCGAAATAAAGAAACAAAAATAACGCAGGAACAAAAAAAAAACCATCGTCATGCATCTCTCCTACTCCTAGATCCGATTCCGGCGAGGAGGAATCGCCGCCCCGAGCCATGCATCCCTGGCAATTCGCATCCACGGAACCAGACGCCAGCGAAGGCATATGAAAAGGGCAGAAACCACCGCGAAACCGCGAGGGCGAGGGTTGGAGATGGCGGGGCGAGGGCACGTACCTCGGGAAGACGCGGCAATGGCGGCCGGCCGCGCAGACCCTCCCCGCCGGCAAGAGAGGAGAGGAGATGGGATGAGCCCGCCCGCCCGCTCGCCGGTTGGCGTCGCCGTCCCTGGGCCGAGGCGAGGCGACGAGAGGGAGGAGGACGAGGAGGCAGGCAGCAACGGCAGCAAGGAAGGAAGCGCGAGGCGAGGCGGAATAGTACGGGGGCTTTCCTGCAAACTGCCTCCGCCCTTGCCCTTGCCCCCCTCGCTGCCGGGTGGGGCCGCGTGAGTGACCCGGTGTAGGTTCTGCGAATTTGGTGGGTTTCTCGGGGGCGATCTGCAACAGTCGGGCCGGGCGATCCGCTATGCCCTCTCGCCTCGCTCGCTCGCCCTCTCAAATAGGGGGCGGGGGTGGGGCCACCCGCCTGCCAGCTCGGCGACGGGCTCTGCTCTGCTCTGCTGTGGCCAGTCAAAGCATCGGCTCAGCCGGTTTCACGACTACGGATACCATTAGCGGCCCATGGTTATCAAACAAAAGGGGAAAAAAAACTTCAAAGGAGCCGGTTTCATTTTTATTAGGACAGTAAAATGGAACCAATGATTTCCGCCGTTGGATTTCGTGTTGGGATTGTTTCTGACCGTCAGATCCAAATTTCAGATGCAGTTTTACCGCGACCTGGCCGGACAGTCCTAATGTGCCGCTACTCTCGTGACATTTTCCAAGGCCTGTGGTTGATTGGGCTTTATTGGACCTGGCCGGTTTCATTTGGTTGCATTGCACGGGGCAACGGGATGCTTGCATTTGACTAGGCCACATCCGCTCCGCTGGTACTGTAGGACTACGTCGGAGGACAGTTGGGCTCTCCTCGCTGGATCAGCAGATCCCGTCCGACGGAACCGCTCTACGGTTTCTGTTGCAACCCTACAGTGAGTGTCCAGTCAGGGGGGGTGTTTTTCTTCATTCATCCCCTCCCTTCCATCTTGCAACATCCGGCAAGCGCAAGCAAATATTTTCTCACATTCATCACCGAATGGATGAAATGTTATTATTATTATTTTTGAAGGTTGTTTCTTTTTCCGATGACAACTTTAGTTATGGTGGGACGACAAGTTCCTCGTAATAGCATGACAGCTTCTTGCAGAGAAGACAGTCTTCTTTTTAAAACTGCCACCGTTTGATCTTGATCAAACGTCTCTTCGTTGGGAACTACTAAAAGTCCCAGCTAGCATTACCGTAATTTTTTCTTTTTTGATCGAAACATAGCCCACAATTTGTCCAACCTCTCCGATGAAATCTATCCGCGGTTCAAGCTTGATCTTGAATAATGAGCCACCAAAAGAATTCGTGTTTTGGTGGCAAATGCAAAATCGCAGCAAAAGGGAGGAGGATGGATGATCCATCAACGGCATGAAAAGAGCAGACACTAAAATTCATCGTCACAACTAAAAAGCATCTTCTGAACAAGGAAATCCCATCGAGTTACAGCCGGCTGTTCCATGCTTCCAATTCCCCAAAACTCCATGGAACAATCCTCACTGAAGCTCTGCTACGATGACCCAACAGAGGGACTATAACTGACAAATACAGTAGATGACCAGAGAGTGATCCATCACAATACTACATACAAGAGTAGCCTGAGCGAGCATACGCATATACGCTATTAGTATTAGTATGTTCACAAGGAACGAGGCAAAAAAAACAGCACTCACAAGATTCACAAAGATGATAAAACCACTGCTGGTACCAAGAATACAAGAGGACACCTGAGCGAGCAAACGAAATATACACAAATAACGAGGCAAAAACATTCCGACATGGAGTACAATATTCACAAAGATAATGACAAACCACTACCAATACTCATTTTTTGGTTGCTGAAGCGAACGACTAACAATAATAATTGTCAGAACTTACAAGGCGACGACGACCAGCTCAGGGAGAGCACTCGACAGTTCAGGCCACCGTCAGCTATGGACCGACCGACCGACCAAAGGATGGATGCGGAACAAGACACACTGCAACGCACTACTAGCCGTAGCAAATTACAAAACGGAGTACAAGACGCAACCTCGACTCATCCAAGCCACAGGAGGAAACCACAAACTCTCACTGGACACAGCGACAGACCTGAAGCGGGGGACATATAGCTGGCGGAGCGCGATCGCCACTACTACGCGTCGCGCTCCTCTTCCTCCTCCTCGTCGTACTCCTCCTCAGCGGTCGCGTCCTGGTACTGCTGGTACTCTGCGACGAGGTCGTTCATGTTGCTCTCGGCCTCGGTGAACTCCATCTCGTCCATGCCCTCGCCCGTGTACCAGTGCAAGAAGGCCTTCCTCCTGAACATGGCCGTGAACTGCTCGCTCACCCTGCGGAACATCTCCTGGATGGACGTGGAGTTGCCGACAAAGGTGCCCGCCATCTTCAGGCCCCTGGGCGGCATGTCGCACACGCTTGACTTGACGTTGTTGGGGATCCACTCAACGAAGTACGACGAGTTCTTGTTCTGGACGTTGAGCATCTGCTCGTCCACCTCCTTGGTGCTCATCTTCCCTCGGAAGCAGGCGGAGGCGGTGAGGTAGCGGCCATGGCGGGGGTCTGCGGCGCACATCATGTTCTTGGCATCCCACATTTGCTGAGTCAGCTCAGGAACGGTGAGAGCACGGTACATTTGCGACCCACGCGACGTCAGCGGTGCGAAGCCAACCATGAAGAAGTGGAGACGTGGGAATGGAATGAGATTAACAGCAAGCTTGCGGAGATCAGAGTTGAGTTGTCCAGGGAACCTCAGGCAGCATGTGACGCCGCTCATGGTAGCAGAGATAAGATGGTTCAGGTCACCAACTGCATTGTTAGAACCAAAGCTGTATGAGTGACCACATCTAACTGAGCATAAACTTCTGCGTGTAAATTTCAGCAGATACTACAGAAAAGTAAAGATCAAGACAAGATTAGCTTACAGGAAGGGGTGGCAAGCTTTAGCGTGCGGAAGCATATGTCGTATAAAGCTTCATTGTCAAGCACCATACACTCATCAGCGTTCTCAACGAGTTGGTGAACGGAAAGTGTAGCATTGTATGGCTCAACAACGGTGTCTGAGACCTTTGGTGACGGGAAGACAGAGAAGGTCAGCATCATTCGGTCAGGGTACTCCTCCCTGATCTTAGAAATAAGAAGGGTTCCCATCCCAGATCCAGTGCCTCCACCCAAAGAATGGCAAACTTGGAATCCTGTAAAGGAAGCAAATAAAGCCAAACTATTATTCACAAATGAAAGTGACAATACACACGCAAAATTGGACATCTGTAGTGAACTGCAAAAGAGTACAAAGGGTGCAGCAACACTCCAAGGACACAAACAGTCTAGCAATGTCACCATGTGCTCCACAAAAGAGGAGTTGATGAGCAATCAAGTTAGATCAGTAATGCTACACAAACATGTTCCTTGGGCCTGCCACATTAAATAGCACACCAAAATAACTATAGGGATGACCAAAGGAATGGAGCTAAGGACTTCTTTATTCATCATTTAGATAGGGACTCCATTTCCATTTTGTATAGGTAAAGTTGACCCAGCTCAGGTATGACAGTTTTTAATTTAGTTTTTCCACAGGGCATTAACAGGTGCAAAGTGGAGCCTCAAGCAAGCCAATCCAACGCTACCTACTTTAATAGAATATCAGTCCTCCCGACAATCGAGATTGGTGAAGCTAGCTAGGTGCTTATCCAGAATAGCTAAATTATTTTTGACTAGCTCATCCACACGATCCCTTAAAGCTAGAAGAAGCCAGCATACTAATCACAAACAGACCACACAGTAACAGGACAACCTATATCCTACCAGCTTCCACTCTTCTTATGTTCTGAATTGGGATAAAGTAGCATCTTCGTAATGGACAAATTGGACATGACCTATTATCGTACTAGATAGCAAATTACTTGGATCAACAGTAACCAGCAGTTAAATGATCAAATTAATGCATATAACACAGAATTAGACATGAACTATTATCGTACTAGATAGCAAATTACTTGGATCAACAGTAACCAGCAGCTAAATGATCAAATTAATGCAAATAACACAGAATTAGGCATGAATTGATGAGATCAATACATCAGCAATTAGCACTCTGGGGATGCAAATCAGGCATAAATGCCAAACAGACGCCGTAGTAATGACAACCTGATATTTGGAACGGATCTAACTCCCCGGGGAACGGCTGAGCCCAGATCTAAACGCTGGCTCATCAATCCCTGACATAAATTCACGCGGAAGAGATGGTATAATTAATTACCCTGGAGGCAGTCGCAGTTCTCGGCCTCCTTGCGGACGACGTCGAGGACGGAGTCGATGAGCTCGGCGCCCTCGGTGTAGTGGCCCTTGGCCCAGTTGTTGCCGGCGCCGGACTGGCCGAAGACGAAGTTGTCGGGGCGGAAGATCTGGCCGAAGGGGCCGGAGCGCACCGAGTCCATGGTGCCGGGCTCGAGGTCCATGAGCACGGCGCGGGGCACGAACCGTCCCCCGCTCGCCTCGTTGTAGTAGACGTTGATCCGCTCCAGCTGCAGGTCCGAGTCCCCCGCGTACCGCCCCGTCCCGTCGATCCCGTGCTCGTCGCAGATCACCTCCCAGAACTTGGCCCCGATCTGGTTCCCGCACTGCCCTCCCTGGATGTGCAGGATCTCCCTCATCTTCGCCGCCGCCGCTTCGCCGGTGCCGGGCGCCGGGGGTCCGGTGGACGGTGGTTGCGGGGGAGGAGGGAGGGGGGGTCGCTGGCTGGCCTGGGGGATTCGGGAATTCGGATTTCGAAATGGGGGACGGTGTTTTCCGACCCTTTATACTCCGAGCGGGGAGAGAGAACCGTTCGGGTTCGGGCTCGGCCGCCCCGCCCGGGGTGGTTGCGGGCCGCGGGCCCTGGGTGGGGCCCGGCCCCAGCGGCGGTAGGGGGCGTGTGGGTGTGTGTGCTGGCGTAGCGTGGGCTCGGGATGGCTCGGTCGCTGGACCTGAGCGTGCCAGGCTGGTGTAACCGAAGCCCGCGGGCCCCACCCGCCGCAGCTGGGCGGTCCGTCCAGTGGGAGGGAGGATGAGCGGATGGGATCGGGCACCGACGGCTGGGGCCGACGACGGAGCGCGGGGCCCGCGCAGCAGTTCGCTGTGGGCGGATCGGGTGTGGCGTAGCTGTCATTGACGTGTGGTCGGCGCTGGAGCCACCTGGCAGGCAGGGTCGGTCTCGGGGGAGGGATGGATTCGTGTGGATGGGGACGAGGCCTACCGATGACACGGCGGTAGGGCGGGCCGGCCGTCCGTCGCCGGTGAGCAACCCCGGCGGACGCCACGATGAGGAAACGGGCTCCTTGCAGTGATAGCGATGGAAATGCACGTCTTTTCTTTTATCACTAGTTAATTGCCCGTGCGTTGCAATGGGGCATACATATTTTAGTGTTCAACATCAATTATATATAGCACATATCTTTAGGATTCTTATGCACATCAGGCGCTAATGAGTTTTTTACTATTAAATGGTTAATTTCCCATGCATTGAAACGGGCAATAGTATATAACACATATCTTTAGAATTCTCACACACATCAGGTGGCATTGATGATTTCTTCTTTTACCATTAAACGACCTTCTTCCAATCCCTATATCTACCTCTCGGCCTCCCCAATCCAAACTCGCCACCTCTATCCATGGTCCATCTAGCTCGCAACCCCCCTTAATGCATCATGTAAGCATGCACGTGCAACACACGTGTAACCAATTAATTATATGTTGTCACTTATTATGGACTCACAATACTATTGCCACCCCTTGCCACCTCACCCTTCTTAAACCGTTGTCATGGGATATCATGGTGTCAATACACATGCAACAATCGCTACCTTGCCTAATGCATATGTGACCAAACATATATATAAACAAAGATGGAGTAGACAAGTGTTTTCGGAAATAGTCCGAGCATGCTTATCAAAGAGATGAATTACATGCGGTTTTCATTTTCAAGATAGGCAAGTTTTAGAAACAATCCAAAATTACCTATCAAGGATATATATGTGTTATTAGTGGTGACCATGGAAATATTCTCAAATTGCCATGTACGTGTCTATCCATGGCAATAATCCAAACTTGCAATGTACATATTATTGTTGTGTATCGCAAGGCTATTTATCGTGGGAAATTAGTCCAGTGGGAATGTAAGTAACTTCAAATATAGTATTTGTATACAGTATAAGAGCAAGGCCCCGTCCCCCGTCCCCTCTCACCCAAAAAAATATCGTGGGAAAATAAGAACATGAAAGACCACATCATTTTCGTTAGTGACAACGATATAAAAGTAAAGTTAAAATTTCTCGCTCCCAAATAGAGTTGCTCATTGTTTAGCGACTTTTGATCAGAATGGGGATAACACAACGTGCTGGTTAAATCAATCACCATCATGTATCAGTGAGCTAGTCCCTGGAGATTGTAACTCTATTACCGTGGAATGAATATGCTATGATTCCCGCAAAAAAATCAATCACATTGACCGTACAATAGCAACCTCTTTTATCATGCTCTCAAACAAAAACAAGATTTACTGAACAATAAAGGTCCCTATTACGTAATACAAATATTTTTAGCCCAGGGGTAAAAGGTCACATGAGTTCTATTTTTTTGCAAGAGGTTTGCATGTCACAACTATCACTTGTGTACTCTTTCCCACGTCAAATGAAAATATCCAGCTCTGCCATTACTATTCTCAGTGAGCATAAAATAGCGGTACATCAATCCGAAAATACATAGGAGCACTTGGATGCCACACCCTCTATATTCAAAAATGGTTTAGTAATTCAAAGAAGTCCAAAATCCCAAAACTTATGAAATCAAACATGAGCAAGTATTGCACTCATATAAAAAGATTAAACAGGGAATGGTTTTCATTGTATCCGGCGATTTGCCAACAAATGCTAAATAGAAGTACTATTCATGCTATATTGTGGTCAAAAGTTTGTTTTATTTTTGCCTAGAAGTCAATAGGAATCATTCCTTGGCCAAACTTTTTATACAAGTACAATACCCGATCATATTTGATTGTAGAAAAGTTCCTGGATTGACCTTTAATTACTAAATTACTATGTCAATCACTCAATACATGACCGATTATACTACAGACAAGAAAATGAACCAACTAAGTCAACTCTCTTCCGAATTTTTTTTGTATAAGAACTACATAACTCATCACATTCACATCTTTGGCAATCTGTTCTTCGTAAGTCAATGATACCTCTGTGATTAGCAGATAACTTGCATTTTCAAAGTAGACATTTTTCATGAATAAGATTCCAAAAAACTGATTAAAAACAAGATATAATTTTAAGATGGAATAGCAAGAAAGCATGTTGTTCTCACTTCAATTTTGGTTGCTCCAACGCACTTACAAAAGAATTGGCTATCGTGTCCCATGAATGAGACTAACAAGTATACACCTGAAAAAAGCATCTGACATATTGGTATAGTTACAGGTGTAAGAAATCATGTTTGCACCTTAATTAAATGCAAAAGTGATATTGAATTCTGAACTATCAATCAGGGGAGGTCCCTGCCACATGGGAAAGGGCCATGGTCGAGCAGAAGTCCAGCCTTGTAGAGCTTAGATCTGGCAGTACTCCGAGCAAGCAAGTGAGCAAGCGAGCAAGCTACAACCACAACAACAATCAAGAAGTGGATAGATTAGATTGCAGGTTATGCTACAGCAAGTGAAACACGTGCTCCACAGACGCTCCATAGTAGGCAAAAACAAAAAGGAAACAGGAAGTAGTTTCCTGACACGACCTTAACTTGTCGGGGAGGATGCCCAGCCAGCCGCTCATGGAAGGCCGCAACGGTGTCTTCCTAAGCGTAGATGTCCTCCATGGAGATCGCCGTTGGGAAGCAGAGGCGAGGTAACGTGAGCGGCGCATGGATGGCCAGGAAAACCCAGGACCCTATTTTCCGGTCGCCCTCCGAGCTGTAGTGCGCGGTAAGATGTCAAGCGGCATGGATCACTACAGATTAGCGCTGCATTGGAGCTGGGCGGCCGCGTACTCTCGTCCATCGCTGAGATTGATTGACAAAAATTCTTTCCTATTTTGTCCACGATCCAATCCCCACCACCCGGGATTGATTGAATATCAATTTTGTCCGCCGCCGAGATTGATTGACATAAATTATTTTCAACTTTTTCACAGAAGTAAAGGAGATTGATTACTGTCCAAAACTACTCTTGTGTTACCAAAGATGATATTGATTACAATACGTGAATTGATTTTGTTTATATTACAAAAAACGAGATTTGTTACCATATGTGAAACATAAAGTTGGTCTGTCCCGATTGGATGAGGATAAAACCGGTAAATAGAGAACCAGTAAAAAAAATCGATGGAGGGAGACAAGAAAATCGGTGGAGAGGGGGGAGGGGGGTCGTAGGAAAATGATGGACGAAAGGTGGGCGACGTAAGAGGGGAGAGGGAACACTACGTTTTTTTAAAGTAGTAGAGAAGAGATATCACATTTTGGCCCAACTCAATTTCCTTGGAACGGCCTTCATCAAAGGAAAAAGGAAAAAAAAAACTTTGGGACGGACGGCAAACTGAGCTTGCAATTCCTGCGATTTGAGTCTGAGGTCGCCGACGCTTGGCCAAAACCTTTTAATGCTTTCTTTTCTGAATCAATCACTGGAATTTTGCTGAGTAGACGTTTGGTTCAAGCCCCTCTAAGCTGATCGTAGTACCTACAAGTTGGTGCGCTTGTACAGCAAGCTTAACAAGGAAGAATGATAATGATAATGATAGCGGCCGCGATTTTATGGAGGCGATAGGGATGCTTCACTAGCAATCCAATCAGTGTACAGTTCTGGACTGCATGTAGCAGCCGCAGTCTGCAGCTCGGTGGGGAGGGGAGGGCCAATGTGTGTGTGTATTGGGTGTCAAAGCACGTAGCTGTTGCTTGGGAGAAACGACAGGGACAAATCAACAGCACACCCACCACCCTGAACTGAAGCGCGCCTCTCGCTTTCAGCAGCGCGTGAAGCCGGCCCGATCGGGAAACAAAAGCAAGCAAGCAGCTCTATGTATGTGATCCTCCCAAGTGGCTGAGATCGCAAGCCAAGCTTTCTGTCGCGCACGAAAAAGGACTGAAATGCCGGGTCTTCCACTCACAAAGTAGCAAACGGAAACATCGCTTTTATTGTTACAGCCATTTCTTACGATGTCCAGTGTTTTCAACCATGGCCATGGTGGAAAGATGATGATGTTACAACAATCCTAGTGGTAGTGGTAGATCGATAGGGGAGCGAACGGCCCCCACAGACGGGCTGGGAGGCTGCTCTCAAACACTATCAGGTGACCCGCTGCCAACCTTGGATGGAACACACGCAGAGAACCAGTATGCCCGTCCTCGATCAAAGATGGGGGCTAGAATGATTTCTTCTCGTACGACACCAGCCCGTGGATCCCTCCCTCCACTTGAGCGGCGCCGGTCCTCACCTGGTAAGGAAAGGTTACCAAGACTGAATGTCAGTTCTGTTACCAAGACATGAAATGACAAACATCATCCATGAACAGGGAATTTTCTATGCACTTCTTTTGCACTGCACATCATCCATGAACAGGCATGACACTTCTCATTCACTGTAACAAGTGCTATGACCACAATTCTACATAAACTGTGGTGC